TATATTGAATTATTTATTGACAGTTCTTAATATTTTTTAAGAGATTGCTTTCCATTGAGATTTTTGTTATTATATTTGTTAATTTTTGTTTGTTATTAAGTTTATTTAGAAATTGAGATTATTGTCATTATTAAATTATTTATAATTATTTTAGTTAATTTTTTTAAGTAAACTATTAAGATTGATTCTTTTAAATAATTTTTAAATTTTATTTATATGATTTTATATAAAATTTTTTATCTAAATTATTTTATATTATTATCAAATATTAAATTTTTAACATAATTATTTAATTTATAAATATTTTTTAATTTTTTATCTTTAAATATAAATATTTATTAAATTTATCACTTATTGGACCCAAATCTTCCCATTGACTTCTAATTATAAATCTAGTATTCTTTACAGGAGTTGGTAAAACCATGCATCCAGGCTCTAGCTATAACATAGAATACCTCGGTTTATGTTTCATTTTCCTCTGATTTCTTAAGTGCAAAAACAAAAATGGTATTTGAACTTGAGCTATGCCGAGAGCTAGCCTTAGTAAGCTTTTGGTTTTTTTCCATCCAAAAAGAAAGGAACCCTTTTCTTTTGCTATTCCTTTGTCCTTGAGTTTCGTCATAAGACATGACTGATGAGAAGGCTTTGCCATATTGTGGTTGAAGAAGGGGAAAAGGGCAGATCAGAGATCAGACATGGCTTGAGCCTGGCCAAGCATCGTTCTAAAGCTTTTAAGTGTAAACACATTGGCCACCAAAATAGAGAGACAAAAAGGAGAATTGCAGCAAGATCTTATCAAAAATCAAGGCATTCATATTCTAACTCCAATTGATATAAGAAAGTATCACATACATCTCATGGTCTTGTTACAATCCCAGAAACAAACAAACATACAAACAAAAGAGAAAGAGGAATGAGAAACAAACGAATGAAAGACAAAAAGCGCAAGACAAAGAAAAAAATATAATAAAAAGCAGTGCCTGGACTTCCCCCATGTATGCCACCAGAATTGTTCTCTGCCTCTTTATATCAACTCCATGCCTTCATCTTTAACCTCTAATTTTGAAGCATCCAATTTATAGAGGTGGTGGATGTTTGGAAGCAGGCCAAAACCAAGTACTGTGTTAGTCAACCCAACGTTGCATTTGTAATTATTATAAAACTATTGGGAGTAGTCTCTTTCCGTATATCTTGTAAGAACGATATCTTCCCAATTAATTACACAGATCTAGCAATCCCTCTTTTTACAAGGGGCCATCCACCAAAAAATCCGGTGGAATCTGTTCATCAGTTCCAAACATAGCAAGACCAAGATGTTATGAGAATGAGAAAAGGTTAAAACAGCAGTCGCCTTTCTCCAATTTAAGTCATGTGTGGATGGCTGGAATGCATTTTACTTGAGTTCTAAAGGAATAAGCTGCACCTAGTCATAATTAATTAGTTTCCTTTTATATGAAAATATGGCATTAATGTTGAATACACAATTTCCTATTATGACACGTCTCATCTTATCTGGAGGAACCCATAGAATTATCGCCATGTTAAATGCTTAAACTAGCTTGGCCAATTAATAATGGAGTAAAAGATAAAAGTTATCCTAATAATTTTGGGAGTGCAGTAGCTCTAATAAGTTGATTTCCATTTTCAACTTAAGTAAATATAAAATCAAGGTGTACTGTGTGTGAAGTCATTTCAAATTAAAGGACACTGTTCTACTCAGTTTCAGTGCCGAAGAGGGAAGAGGACAACTAATTTACAATAAAAATCTGTACGGACATGGCAGGATTCAGAAGTTGGCATGAGCGGGGTCTTTGCTTCCATGATTGCCTTTCGAGAAACAATTAACATGATTGCTAACTTTAGTTCTTGTCACTAAGGCCCTTACATAGCTGTAAATCTGTATTTCCATCAACTCTTTTGAGTTGAATTGAAGTTTGTGCCAACCTTACGTGAGTCTTGGGTCAAAGGGAATGTGAATCTTGAGCTATTTGTTGATCGGTGTTGATCCGGTTTTCAATTTCCATTTCCATTTGCTGATTCTATAGCTTAAAATCTTTGAGTTCTGTGTTCACGTGTCTCAGCCTTTCTTGGTGCTAAACATGTCAAAAGAGTTATATTTGAGGCCTTCTCAAAACAAAATAAAATAAAATACATTCAAATCTTCAAAATTTTATTATAATTCAATTAAAGTTCATTAAATTTCAAAATAAACTTCCCATTCTAAAATAATCAATTTAACAAATTTTGTAATTCCTTTCATTATACATCATTTCCTTTTTCATAATTAAGTCATTTGGGTATTATATGATACTCATTTTACTCCTCATGGAAAACAGGAAAAAAAAAAGATTTTTTGATAATCAACATTTTTGATGAGATTATGTGCTTTTTACGTGGTATGGTCTATGTCTCAAAGATATGTAAAAATAATATATTATTGAGCTTATTAGACTTCAAAAGTATAAGATTTTTATTAATAGTTTAATGAAAAAAGTCACACAATGTGACATGGTCATGATGAGGAAGATTTTGTATAATGATTTATGTCATTTAAAATGTGAGGTCTCGAAAGGATGAGAATAATGCACCAGAAGATGATAGTTATTGAAGTAAGATTTCATTTATAGAAAAGGTGATGAAAAGCTTCCATGGGGTAAACAATGGTGGAAGGATATGAAATCTTGCAAGTGTTAGTGAATTGGAAAGGTTGTTCGTGGAATCAATGTTCGATCGTTATGTTTAGTTGGGGTAGTTTTGAAAACCAATGGTTTACAAAGTATTGTGCTTGTAAAGTTGCTAAAGGTGTTGAAAAAGTAATTGGAATTGAAAAGTAAAAATTAAGTTCAATTAGTGGAAGAAGTTTAAAATGTTTGAATCCAAATTAAAGATGGAGATTTGTTAAATTTTGAATCAACCAGAATTTAAAATTTATTTGATTAGAATGCTTGTTTGTGTAGTAATTGTATAATATTAAAATTTTTATCTCATATTAAGTCTTAATACTATTTTACCTTGACCTTTTATATATATAGGTGGAAAACTAATACTTTTAAGAGATGAGATAACTTATAACTCTATCTTTTTTTTATGTGAAATTAGACTGCATGTGGGTTAGTGTTCTTACGAGGGTATTAAGAACGAGTGCAGAAAGATCTTTGGGTTGGTTTTGAAAATCAGGAAGATTTTATTGTACTTTATTTACTTAATAATAAAATAATCGAACCATGTAAATTTTTATGTTTTTGTATTTGCTTTATTTTTTTGAATTTTATCTTCGTCTCTTTTTGATAATTTTCATAAAAAATAAGTTTGATAAAGTTATTTGTCTGAAAATGAGAGAAATCTTCTGATGCAATTTCTTCTTACAAGGATATCTATTTTAAAATCTAATAAAATTATGTTGAATTATAGTAAAATTTTAAGAATTTGGACGTATATTATCTCATATATATATATATATATAAAACATTATAAAAGAGAAATTAAGTTAGATAAAATTGACTAGTTTTGTAATTCTTCTATAACTTCATATATAATTAATATTTTAATAAATAGATTAATGAATTTAACAACTTAATTACTGATCAGGTTCCTAAACTTTTGAATCAATCTAATATCTTTATTATGTTGATTAAAAATACTATTTTTTATGTATATTTAAGGATTTAAATTTTATTGTGTCAAACAAATAATTAGATTTTTTTAGTTAACTTAAAATTTGGCATGCATGATCTAAAATAAAATAGAGGACATATTCTTTCTAAATTATTATTAATTTAATTTGTTTTTGAATATTTCTAAATTTAAAATCATGCATATCCTTTTTCTTCATTAATTTAATTGTACTCTTTTATTATTAAGCTCTTTCTAAACTAAAAATCATTTCATTTTCGTTTATCTTTGGATCCTTTCTAGGAGCAATTTTTGTGTTTGGTAGGTAAGCTTAATTAATTTCAATCCAAATTCTAAATCTTTTGGATGTAATTGATAGCTTAAATGTAAAACCATATTTGTTCTTAGAATCAAATACCCACTATTAGCCCATCATTTTAACTAAACAATTAGTATTGTTAGAGAAATATTTTTATACTAATTAAGTTTTTAATTTCAACTAAATTTTCTATTTATATTTCACTCAAAATGAGATATATTTTTCATTTTAAATAATCTATCCTTTTTGAAATTCTAAAATCAGCCAAATGAATATAAAAGACTTAATTATATTAAATTTACACTAAGAAAAATTTAAACTGACACCTAATAATAAAATTAGAGTAATTCAGAGAATACGAGTCTCAAAAGTTTATAGGCATTGATAATTATCATAATATTCATATCCAATTAAATAATAATAATAATTCACTGTAAGAAATTCAAAAGATTAATTGATTAATTTTCATTACTTTAATAAGCACCTTACAAAAGGTACAATACTTGATGAAATTACCACGATAACACCAAAATTTTTTTTTTGTTTTATTTAGCATTAATACTTTGTCACTATATAAATATGCATTTAAATATCTTTTTTGTTTTATATAATTGTCAACGAAATACTAAGGAATAGACTTTACATTTTTTAATAAAATGATTGTTGTTTCTAAGCCTATAAATTTGTATTAGAATGTAATGTAATATTAAGATTGAATAATATTCGTAACGAATATTCTTTTGTTACATTACAAAGTTGGAACAATAATTTGATTATATTCAGTATGTTAATATATTTTTTAATTTATATTTTTAAAGTAATTTTAATTATAGTTTTTAAATTATTAAAGATTGATAAACTTTTATGTTCGGTGAGTCGCACGAAGTCAAAGCTAGTTGTCTCATATATATATATATCAACGGTGGAGATTTAAAACATTATAAACGAGATTAAAAGATTCTCATGTGGACGGTCCTACCCAACAGGAAAAAAGAAAGGCAAAACTATTTGGGTTTTGGGCTTAAAAACAATGGACTTGGGATGTCGGGCCGCAGAGAGCCATCTTTGTTTGTTCATTACCGAAACGAAGACAGTGCTTCAGTTCTTCCTCGGCAGCAAAAAGAACCAAGAAGAATATAAAAATTACCAGAGTATAGCAATTCTTTTGCCTTCATTTTGAATTTCTCACACCCAGTAATGTTAAAAGTTAACAACTTTCTTTCCTCAACAAAGAAATTACTTCCACATCCCCAAATTGGGCATCAACAATGGAGAAGAATAGTTAAGGTGAGGCTGAAATGGGTGAAGAACCGGAGCCTTGATCATGTCATCGACACTGAGACCGATCTCAAAGCGGCTTGCCTCTTAAAGGATGCCATCAAGCGGTCGTCCACCGGTTTTCTTACAGCCAAGTCTTTTGCAGATTGGCAAAAACTCCTTGGCCTCACTGTCCCCGTTCTTCGCTTTCTGCGCAGGTATTTTGGCCTTCTTTGCTTGATTTTTGAATACCCTTTTTTTGTTTGTTTTAGATTAGTCAAAAGTTGTTTGCTTTTCTGTCCAGAGGCAGAAGCAAAATGCAATTAAGGAAGCAATAACCAAACTGTACCTGAGGGTATGAGAGTGACAATGTAGGATTTTGCAGTGTTAGTGGATGATTATTAGTGGGTAATTACTGCGTACTGTTATGTGCTGCTGGTATTAGGCACTGAGAAGAAAGTGATTGTCCTTGTTTTTGTTTAACTGGTATTGAGTTGAATACGTAATAAATTAGTTTATAGTTGCCAAATTTTTTCGACTTTTGTTTCAGGTACCCTACCCTTTTTGAAGAATTTCCACATGCCCGTTATGCTAATTTGCCTTGTTTTCGACTAACGGGCACTGCACTCTTGTTAGATTCACAAGAGCAAAGCATACACGAGGCACATGAGAGTGATACTATAGAGAGGCTTTGTAGGTTGCTTATGATGATGAAAAGTAGGACTGCACCTCTTCAGTCCCTGCATCCTTTGAAATGGGATCTTGGTTTGCCAGATAACTTTGAGAAAGTGTTGATTCCAAAATTTCCAGATCAGTTTAGATTTGTTAAGGCACCAATTGGAGTTGCAGCTGTACGACTTGTGCAATGGCGCGAGGAATTTGCCGTTTCAGCATTGAAAGAAGTAATGAAGGTGGTGAGATGGGTGATGAGTACAGGCAATTTAAGAGGGGCCAAACCGCATTGGCATTTCCAATGAATTTCCCAAGGGGTTATGGTGCTCAGAAGAAGGTGAGAGCTTGGATGGAGGAGTTTCAGAAGCTTCCCTACATATCTCCGTATGAAGATTCTCGGCATATTGATCCAAGTAGTGAGCTTATGGAGAAAAGGGCTGTTGGTGTATTGCATGAGTTTTTGAGCTTGACAATTCACAAGAAGACCAAGAGGAACTACTTGAGAAGCTTGAGAGAGGAACTGAACATCCCACATAAGTTTACTCGATTATTTACTAGATATCCAGGGATTTTCTACCTTTCCTTGAAGTGTAAAACAACAACTGTGGCTCTCAAGGAAGGATACAGGCGAGGAAAGCTAGTAAACCCTCATCCTCTTGTTCGTCTAAGAGAGAAGTTTTATCATGTAATGAGGACAGGGCTTCTTTATCGTGGTAAAGGTGTGAATCTGATACCTCGGGAAGACATTTTGCTCAATGACTTGGAGAATAAAGTGGAAGACGGAGAAGAAGAAGAAGAAGAAGAAGAGACAGAGGAAGTGGAGATTGGATCAGGTGATGAATTCTATGAGGGAACATCAGATGTAGAAGATGAATGAGGTGAAGAGTAATGATTACCTGACAGAATTATCCCTGTTGCAGCTACATTAAAAGGGAAATATGATCAAAAGTTGAGACATTTGCTGTTAATTAGGACGCACCAAACGTGGATTCATCTCTTACATTAGTATGGGAGCAAGGGATCACGTTTTGATGATATAAGTTTATCATAGCATGTTTGACTTGTCTTCGGGCTGATGTCAGTTGACACGTTCAGATTTAGAAAATTTTCCAAATCTTTCGACACTAGCTTGACTTAAAATTAAGTCCTTTTTAAGGATCAGTGGCCCTTTTTCTTTGATTGATTGGGTCAATTTTTTAGTATATGCTTGTTTTGCTTTCATGTTAAAGAAGTTAGAAATGAACAATTCTGCACGGAGTTCCACATTAATGCCATGTTGCAAGAGTTCAAGGTTTAGAACTAAGCACCGTCAGAGTTATGTATCTATAGGACCCGTTCGACATAAGAATGCTGTGCAATAGTAAGCATTAAAGTCCAGTTCATGCTGGTGTAGGATTTTGGCATTGTCAATCTTTCATGCCAATCTTTGTATCATTCATTGTCGTTGTCAACTGAATGCAGATTCTATTTGTTATGATTTGATAGTATAATTGCGCTAAACCTGCTCAGGACTACAGGAAAGCAACCTGCTTATTTCTGTCATCTGAGCAAATTCCCCAATTACAGTCACATTTTGATATGCAGAGATTTTACTTGCTACTTCATGCTTGATGTAGAGTTTCCAATTCCATGTCAAAGAAGCTTCTTCCTCCTCATTTTCCAGTTTCCACCCAATAATTTGAACATTACGAGTCGAGTTTTTAGGTAAACAACGGTCTGTTTCGTAATCAAAAAATAATTTTTTTGTGAAAATTTTTTATGTAAAATATTTTATAAAAAAATTTAATATTTTTTATTATTTAGATAAATTATGGAAAATATTTTTTATAATTTGAATTATTTTGTGAAAAATAGTCACCATTACTAAATAGGAGTTGACTATCACTGGGTTTTCACATTCAAATTAAAAGTGAAAATAAAAATTAAAAAAATCAATAATAATTATTTTCAAACATTTTATCACATATCATAATGAAACTAAGCTTTAATTTTCAAGAAGATTTTCATCTTATCATTTTTTTACCATAACACTATAAAAATATAAATATTCATCAATTTATAGAAAACATCCAAAGTTTATATTTGTAAATGTGTAATCGTTAAATAATAATTATTGAAATATTTTTTTAATAATTATTAGTAAAATTTATTTAATTTATAAATAAAAATATTAAATTGCATTGGATGATTCTACTAAAAAATAATTTTTTAATTTTAATAATATTGAATAATTTAAATATTAATATTTTAAATTAAAAAATTTAAAATTAAATATTAAATTTGTTAATATATTAAATTAAATATTAATATTCATTAATTTTCCAAAAAAAATTAATATTCATTAAATGTATATTATTAAAGTTTAATATAAAAACATTTTTTCTGCCACGTGTTTGTGTTTTTTCGTACAATGTTTTATATCTAAATAAACTTTCAGTCCCTAAGTTTGTTTGACGCTACCGAACTGCGGCTAAAGCATGGAAAGATCAGCGTCCTTCAACAAGAATCATTCTCAATTATTGTATCATCATTTAAATGCCAATTCCTGTAGAGTGTTGATTCCTAGTTAAAGCTTTTATGCTGTAAGCGAACAGCAGCCATTCTCATATTTATGCAGTTAAACACAAAATTCCTCAATTGATGTTTCAATAATCAATCTACGATGCAAGTCGAAGTTGCCTTTCAAGTTCAATTCAGCAGACGACACGTATCAATGGGATCCTTGCTGTTATCAAAGTTAATATCAGAATAACTCCAGGATATAATAGTATGAAGTACTCTTTTTATTATCCAGCCAACGGCTGTACCCTATATATGATAATAATATATAACAAACGCAAATTTGCTTCTGTCAGAGCTTCACATCAATACGGACATACATAACCAATGGGCGAGATTAAAACATGATGAAGATGTCAGAATTCATTCCCCCCTATCCCAATCTCTGGTATATATGATAAAAACATGATCATTTTATCAGCAGAATCATGTTAACAGAAAGGCATGCACATGCCTATCTCTTCCTTCATCACCTTAACCTGTTATAATTGGATCGCAAATGTACCTACACACGTACTACTACATTGCATCCTAGGCTCCTAGCTATATTCCTCCAAAAGCAGCATGTGAAAGTGAAGATACACCCAAGCCTAAATGGTTAGTTTCCTATATCACCATCCACAACCTCCTTCCCAGCGACCCGGACACAGCTAACTGGTTAGTTTCCTATGTCACCATCCCAACCACGAGTGCCTCCTTATACCAAAAAAAAAAAAAAAAACTTATCAAGTATACAGCCCTCCACAGAACTCATTAGTGTCCTATGTTAGAACCCATATGCAAATGCAAATAGTAAACATGGAGACGAAATAATCCTTCAAATCTGCTGGAAAATATATATACTCAAAAGAAACATAAAAAATAAATCCAGTATAACGTGGGACCTAATCCCAAGCACTTGTCACGCCAGGAGCATATCCTCCACCATAATTGCTAGGGACTCCATATGCACTCCCACTATTCCCTCCACCATAGTAATCCAGATTCCTACCAAAGGAACCCTCTCTTCTAAAATCACGCCCACCAAAACGCCCTCCTCCAGATCTCCGATTTTTGTTACCACCATAAGGAGCTCGGGATGCATAACGGGTGAGCCATGCAGGCACCTCTTGATTTGCTTCTTGCATTAGCTCAGCTAGTGGCCTTGCCAGTGACAAATTGCCCTCATTAAAGAAAGCTGTAGCCAACCCTGTTTTACCAGCACGCCCTGTCCTTCCAATCCGATGGACATAATCATCAATGTCATTGGGAAGATCAAAGTTGACAACATGAGCTACATGGGGTATATCAAGACCACGAGCAGCCACATCAGTTGCTACTAAAATCGGGGTCTTCCCGCTCTTGAAAGATCTCAATGCTAGCTCCCTTTCCTGCATACAAACCGAAAGCATTTATGTGAAAACATAGACCTGCCAAATTCGGGTAAATGTAAAGCATATGGCATGAACACTGCAACACAACTCAAAACAGCTTTCAACTAAAAAACCTGCAATAACTTTTTCCTAAAACAGCTTAATCTCCTAGTATTTAAAATCAAAAGGATATAATTTCAGCTTGAACAAAAACAAAAGCCATCCCCAACAAAGATGGCTTAAATAGTTGTTAACTCCCTCTCAGCTGAAGTTGCTCAACTAGCTGGCAATTGGCATAGGCGTTTGTACCAGCTTAGCATCAGCTATTTAAAGACTCCTAAGCTAGCCCTGTCTAGAAAACCTATCCAAAATGCTTTTGGAACAATGAATGGATCACTAAAGATGTGATTCAGTAGAAGAGAGAATGAACGCAAGATAATGTCATTAAAAGACATGGATTAGTATATTTAACAAATACAATAATGCAAAATCGAGATCATTTGTCTAAATCTGGCTTCCAACAGAGATCTTGATCTTCACGACTGCATTCTAGAGTAATTGGAATGAGAGTAATGCTCAATAGAATACATCAGACTTCAGTATAACATTGGCAAAAAAGAACATAGGATAAGTTGTCATATCAAGCAACACACTTAATGAACAAGTATATAATTCCACCCTAGCACAACAACCATCTTGTTTCACTTCTCTTTAGCAAATTTATTTCTTAACAATCACCTGTTGAGTCCTATCACCGTGGATGGTCGTTGCTGGGAATCCATTCATGCACAACCAATGTTCCAATGAGTCAGCTCCCTTCTTAGTCTCCACAAAAACTAATGTCAAAGCTTGCTGCAAAGTCAAAGACACACGACTATCAACAACTATTAATCATCTCCATTCTATCAATTCAATAAGACTAGATACCTGAATTAGCACCCTGACCAGTAAATATTCATCAAAACAAATACAACCAGTAATTAACTTCAATTGAAATATATATGGATAAAGCAACTTCGATAAGCAAGTCCATACATGATGTCTCACATTACCTTGCCATGAATTCCATTTTCCCTCTGTGCATGCAGAAGATCCATGAGATGGCTTCTCTTATCCGACTCGTGAACAAATTCAACCCTTTGAACAATCAACTCTGTACTAGAACCAACCCTCCCAACAGCCAAGAATATGTAATTTGAAAGAAAATCAGATGCAAGTCTCTGCACAGCCACCAATTCACAAATAAATTATGATATGTAATTTGGATAGTCTTTTTTTTATTATTTTTAGAACCTCTGCTATCATATTAAATGCATTTGAAAAATTATTCTAAAGCAAATTTTAAGGCCAAAATACATTTTTACTTCTTTAGGATTAGTAAATTTTGAAAGTGAAATATACCAAGCCAATCAACCATTTAGTGCTTGAGCGAATGCCAGGGCAAAATCAATTTTACTACTGAGTAAAAACAATTTCCATTTCTTAAAAACATATATATATATATATATATATAGAGGTAGCAAAAAGAATTCAAACCAACACCAAGATTACATAACATGAAATCAATTCACAACTTGAACATTTTACAATTTTAAGTGCAAAAATGAGTGAAATGTCAAGAAATCAACAGAGAAAAAGGAAATCAACAGAGGAACCATATTTGAAAATTATAACCAACCTGTATCTCTCTAGGAAAGGTAGCACTGAACAACATCGTTTGTCTCACACCTCGTTTAGGCATGTCCATTTGTTCCACTATCTTTCTGATTTGTGGCTCAAAACCCATATCAAGCATGCGATCGGCCTCATCAAGGGCCAAGTATCTAATCATCTGCAATGACACTCTAGCCCTCTCTAGCAAATCGACCAGTCTTCCTGGAGTTGCCACAAGAATATCAACTCCTCTCTCCAGCTCTCGCAACTAAGTACAGAATAAAACATTAGTAAACAAAAGAAGTAACAAACAAACAAATATCAGATATTAAGAAGTTGGAATTTGTAAGGAGACTAGTAAGCCAAAAGTCACTATAGATATTTAAAAAAAGAAAAAAAGAAAAATTCCATAAGAACATAAAAGTGAAAAGTCAGGCAACACAATTAGGTACAGCACATGAACTAAGTTCCTTGATACTTAACCTAAAGAAGTTAATATCCCTCTTAGCACCATATTTGTCACCCACTCAACCTAACCACAACTTCCAGGGAGAATATATCCAATATCTTATGAAACACACCAGACACCTTTACACCCCAGCTCAAAGAGGATGGAACTCTAATTAGACAAAAATGTAAAGCAAACTTCAATCCATTTGAAACAAACCATTAACTAATTATGTCAAAAACAACATTGTATCTGCACTGCTGTTCCTCTTCTCAATAAGTAGACCTCTTAAACTTATTAGTTGCATTTTAATCAAATTTTGTAGAAGATATCCTAAAACAAAATCCAATTTTGTGATTAATCTCAAACTATAACAAATCAAAATTGTAGTCAAAATAGACATAATGTAGAAAAGTAAAATAGTCTAGCATTAAACACAGTTAACAACAAGAACCATACATATCAAATAATATACAGCAAGAATGATATGCAAAACCTAATTTGATGCAAAAACAACCTGT